CCCACCATTTCTCTAGGTGTCCCCACATGTTTGAAAAAGATCTAATAATCAGTGGGGGATTGATCGATCACAGGGATTCATGTGTCGGTCAGTTAGTGACACCATGCTATGAGCTTGGAGATACTCGATATTCACTTGATTTTGATGATTTAGCTGTTAGCTGCTTGCACTTACACACTACTGAGATCTTTACACTCATCTATAATAATTATAGATACCTATTGTGTCAACCACTGCGACCACTTCTGAAATATCTACGGCTAAGAGTGCCACTCCAAGGACCGCTAGATCAGGAGAGGACAAACAAGGATTGTCAACGGCTCGTGAGGACTCAAAAAAGAAATCACTGAGTCCCAGGCGTAGGTATGTGAATGTAATACTACTCAGAGTGCAGACAGATGAGCTCGACAATAACATGATTTCGCAAAAAGTCTCAGCCCTTGTGACCTGCCTTCCCATCAGGTAGTTATGTACCATAGTAAACCATTCAGTGGTAGTCTGCCAGCTAGCGATGGTACTTGTGGTTTCTCATTAAAGCAACAGTCCCAGCAGGGTGGGCGTGGTCGGAAACGACTGCAATCCCCTCGGCCGATTCCGACCACGCCCACTTCAGCTCCCTCCCTAGCGGCTTTCCAAGGTGAGTTTTGTTCAGTCACACCTACGTTCTTAACTAGGGGCTGAGACAATGGTCAGATCAATAGATAGATACTATTACCTTATTGTGTCAAGCTACGCCATACCTCACGCAGACTCGACGTTCCTCTCCAAGAGGTTTAGCAACAATACGCAGGCAAACTTGCACTCACGGAGTCAGAATTTTTGTAGTCTCACGATCAGAATCGTTCCTCCTTCACGGTGTGTTGCGTTGTCCCGGATAAGCACGACGTAACCTCTCCTTCAAAACGCGAGAAAGTGTCGGGTGCAGAACAAACGAGGCCGTCGGCACTTGTGGTGCATGGTCTACACCTGACACTTTCTTGCTTTTTGATGGGGAGGGTAGATGGAGTGTGACAAAAGCTATTCAGCGGGGAAGTAAAAGGTCTTCATTTCTAAGACTTCATCGAAAGCTCACTGGCGGCGCGGATATGATCGCATTGAGCGAGCAAGGCCCAGCCCTGCCAGCAATGCGTAAATATCATACATTGAGTGTTCGCCCCCCCAAATATCTTATGATCGCGCTCTATTTCACTGTGTTCTAATAGAAGTGAGTAGGAATCAACTCGGAAAACGGTCTTGGTTCAATGAACTTCAGCTTGACATGTGCTCTTGAAGGATTGCACAGGTTGGTTGGGATAGGCAAGCAATGTCTCGGTTCGGTCTCAGCATACATGGCGGTTTCTACAAATCTCTCATAATCCGGTTTCCAAGGAGCCTTAGAGAGTGGGGAAAAGGTGATAGAGGCCAGAGGAGGGATGTCAATCGCCATTGGTTGGCGTGGCGTGCACTGATTTGGGCGAAGTTTGTGGATAGCTTATAAATCAGTTCGGAAATAGTCAGAATTCGGGGAAAAAGTGGATAGAAGTTGATACAGGAAGTACGGGTAACTGGTATTAGTTGACGGGGCATTCACCAACGTAGACGAAGTTTGCTGCCAAACTTACGACTTCAAGGGAACGGTTTCAAGAGGTCCCGGATACCAGGGAAAACTGATTAGAGATCGGCTAAGAAACGAGGAAAACTGCCATTGGTGGGAAGGGAACGGACCGAAGTGAAGTTTGTCACGGAACCTCATTTGATCGATTTGGAGACACCCCAGAGACCGGAAAAATTTGGATAAAGTTGGCGAAGGATAAATCGGTTCAAAGCGGATCCGAAAGTCTGCAAAAAAAGAGCAAAGGTTGGAGAGTAAGAAAGGGTTCAATCAGTTGGCGGGCGGGCATGCACCAATATGGGCGGAGTTTGCAACAACTCCTACAAGTCGTTTCAGAAACATTCCCCAGACTGGGAAAAAGCGGGCAATGTGATGAAGGAAGGAAGGTCAAAAGCAATCGGTGTGCGGTACATGCAGTGTGACGGGGGGAGCTAAAATCCAAAGTCAAAATAGGGCCATAGATAGCACCGAGACCGTGAAGACAGCGGATAGAATCTACTAGTCCAGAGTGGCAAAATAGAAGGGCAGGCAGGCAGTTAGCCGTTATGTATCCTGTTGAATTTGAGAATTTTCGTTGCACCGTTCCATATCGCTGCAGAATTGTTGTGCAAGCAACAGCGTGAGGCGCTAACTGATCATGAAAATAAGCTAAAATTGAAGCTCGAGCAAGATTTATAAAAGCTGACTGATCGTGAGTGATACTCAAAAAGCAACCATCGACGCTGCATTGCATCGATGCACTTGTGGAGTTCCAAGGGCTGAGAGGTGGGGGATCCGAAGACACTATCACCGTTGGCTAATTTTTCGCCCTTTTAATGTTCTCCGCTGTTCCTGGATAACCCCGAAATAATATGGTCAAAAAGCGCTGTACCAGTGGCGCACAATATGAATAGTCGTGGTGAAGCCCATATGCAAATTACAACAACATTCGAGGTGGTAAAGGCAAGGCTGTTTTTCGCCTGTTCTATTTACTGCTGAGAGGAGCGTGAGAAAAGTTCAATATTTTTCGACTTAATTATCGCGATTAAAGTTCCATCATTGGCAAAAATTCTGACTTTGATAGAAGAAAATGAAGCGAGGCCAATATCATAGTTTGCAATTCCAGCTAATGAATTGCAACTATGACTCGTCTAACTTGCCGGCCTCAAAATTCAGTCTCTAATGGATTACAGTAGAATTGGCCTTTGGCCCAATTTTTGACTAGAGATATGCACGTCGCGTATGTGATACAGTCCATATCCGGCAGACAAAGGTGGGCGGGGCCACATACGTAATTGCGGACTACACAAACTTGATAGTTGTCGCAGCGAACAGCTGATTTATTATTCTGATTTCTACTATTATTCTGATGTTCTGCTGTATTCTAGTATTTTCTGTGCTTCTGTGCTATTTCTGTGCTAAGCTCGCTTAGTGTAGTTTCCATATGGAAGGAGCGAAACGAACCGTTTGAAATTTCGTTTATAAAGGTTTTTTCTTAAATCGACAACTTTGAATTCAGACAAGATCAGGCTCAAACGTAGCGTCAGCAAGCCAAAAAGACCTCCGCTCGAATGACGTGTGAGTGACTTCGGCTTGTCCTTCAACCATGCCATCGGAAATCGGCTCTTGCCACGAATCACATTATCGTAACTTCTTTAGCCGAGTACAGTGAGAACGCCGACGCCATGATTCTAGACTTTCCACGAATACAACTGGTTAGCTGACATTTTTCATTACGCAAGATGATCTGGCCGATCTGAATGTGCCAAGACCTTTCGCCTTAACTATCATCGAGCACTCTGCTACCGTTCTGTCGTAATTTAACGGTATTTGTGGTCTAAGTTCTTCAAAACCTTTGGAAGTGTCAATGAATTGAGCCCCCCCCCCCAAAAAAAACAACTACCGCAGTAGAAATGGTCGCTATCCTATTAATTTACAGAATCGAAGCCTGGCAGTAAGACACCTCAAAAAAAGAAACCAGATGTGAGTAGAAATATGATTCCTTCATCGAAGATTGTCATTTACCTTAAAGCATTCCTGATAAGGTTAAATGATTTTGCACTAGTGGTGGACTTGATTTCAGACGGTGGACGTAGAACTTCCGACTTATACTCTCCCTACATTTTCCCTGAATCAAACTCAACGCATCGGTGAAAAGCAAAGGTGAGACCTTCGTTATTGATCCCTTCCACCCAAATAAATAACTGGTCATTCTATTTAAGCTCCACCACAGCTGGAATGAATTTTGATGCGAAATTCCAAGTTAAAGACGTTGATACCCAATTGGAGCACATGCTCACCATTAGTAGTCATTTTGTGGATAAACATCTCAAGAAATTGATTTTAAACGGAAAACACTGCAGGTATGAGCTTTCCTCAAGTATTTTGACTTGTTATGTTTTCAAGCCATTTTTTAGACAAGTTTGTTGACAAATAATTGCAAAATATCACTATATTATCTGTTTGGGAAGTGGTGTAGTGGCAAGTGGCACGCTTACCACGCGAGCGGTCCGGGGATCAAATCCTGGGTCGTGAGTCGCCCGGGCCAACCAAGCCTTCCATCCCTCCGGGGTCGGTTAATTGGTACCAGACTTGTCTGGGAGGATAAAAACACTGACTTGTACATCGGCTGGCCCCGCAAGTCATTGTATAGGCCACATCGCATTCAAACGCCACTACGAATGTACAAATGGAAGTAGAATGCGTGCCGCATCCCAAAAAGGGATTGATCAACGGCAAATGCTTTATCCTTATCCTTATTGTCCTTTCACTGCTCATTGAGCTGTTAGGGTGAGAAAATAGTAGATTCTCTTGCTCGGAGGGGAGGAAAGCACTTTATTTCTTTCGTGTAGGACCCACACGAAGGAGCATGACATTTAGCCCACGAGTCCATCTAGTTTCGTCCAACGTTACATGGGACCCTTTCTATGACAGCTCTGTTGGTCTCTCACATCATCGTTGCCGTGTCCGATCCACCTGATCTTCCATTCCTTGGCAAATGCGGCAGCTCCCTAATCCCGTAATCGTTAACGACTGAGTGAGTTCTGGTCTCAGGAAGTTTTGCACGTGCGTCTAGTGGGTCGTCTTCACCAGCAGGATGACTGCTGTCAGTGTTCACCCCACAGACAGTATGCCTGCGCAGAGTTCAAGGCAGAGAAGACTGCAGTATAGAAGAGGTGGACACGGAAATGGATGCCTCGTATCTTCATCATTCCTTGAAATCTTAAAAGGTTCCTATCAGCTCTTTTCATCATAGCTGGGTACCGCTATCTGGAGCATTCGAAGGGAAGATTCCTCGTTGAGAGGTGATGTGCCACAAGAACCAATCCATTCCTAATTAAAATAGACTACGTTTCGTTAGACGTTCGTTAGGTTCATCGGCAAACCGATCTTCCCGGCGCCAAGTTGGTCACAAGCATCCGCTCTGCCTCTTACATTCGGTGTTGAAAGCATGAAACCGTCAACAAGACGACGGTGGAATAGCTCCACGTGCTCATTCCGGTTGTTCTCATTTGCTCTCAGAATCGGTTCCGAAATGTTTTAGTGGAGAGCGCTGCCCTACCGTGTCCCCATGGAGTCAAAAGCCTTTTTGGAGCCATGAACCTGAGATATAACGGCAGCTCGCGCTATAGTGACCCTATTTTCTGCGAATATGATCCAGCAATCTGAACAGTAAGTGGAGTGCTGTTTGCTGCATGGCTGCCTTCATTTTTGTGCTCTGCCAGTAATCCTAAACATTTCTTAACATAGGCTGTAGACACCAGGCAATATGTGCCACAGTTACCGATGTCTTGCTACAGTCTTACTTACTTTCATTGAAGTGGCTATCCTGCATTATGAAACGCTGTACGTGAAGGGTATATAGTGAAAGTTTCCACTATCTAACGAAGAAATGGCCGTAAATCCTATAAGTGTGCCAGTAGGACGCTGAGGATACATAATGTCCATTTTCCCAGTTCCCCCCCCCCAAAGCGAAAAAACACACACAGCACACACATAGGCCTTCTGAATCAGAGATAGTCTTCTGCTCGCTCCTTACGGCCTTACGGAAGTATGCTGTGATCTTGGGTCGATCCCCATTGATTTGTCAAGATATCGGAACTTGGCGACATGTGCGGAGCGTCCTTGTTTTCAACTGCGATATTATTGTAAGCGTGGACGATGAAGATGTTAAAGTTACAGCCAAGTGCGCATGGGAGAAGATGCTCACAGCGCCAGTGCCCACGCTGTTTCATGTTGCACAGAACAATTCTTTGGCTTGTGAAGGGCTCGCAACAAGCAATGTCTTCTCAATCCTTCCACTTCGAAGACTTCGTATTCAAGCTCCCATAGGTCAAGAGCAACCGCAAGGTCTACTCCATTAGGGACATCATGACGCAGTTTCACGGAAGAAACTATGTGGAACTGCACATTCCAGACTTTCACGCATATGTACTGCCCTCACCTCCGCCACCCCCCTCTCCATCTCCGTAGACTGTCTTCACTCCCCATGCTCGAGTACCTCATAGCTCTGGTAAATATGCATCATCCTCCCTCTCCTACTAATCGGAGAAGACCCTGCACTCACCTTACTGCGCTTCGTTAGGCCTCGATAATTCCGGCAGCACGGATGAGAAGCATTCTCCGCTTTTCCGTGGTCCACAGACCCAGCAAAAAGGAGGACTTAACACATGAAAAGGAACCATCGCTAGCCAGCTTTTCGAGAATGAATGTCACTTCTTGCAGACGGTTTCATTGCTACACGAACCTCAGCTCCCGATTTTTAGATAATATTGCTTAATCCTTTGCTAAATATTTTCTCCTTCGATGATAATGACAGTGCTGTTCCCATACAAGATAAATGTGACTTCATTCAATTTAGGGTCTAATCAACATGTGGCGTGGCAATTCAGCCGAAAGTCTTCGTATGATGCAACATTTGTTACTCGAAGTCAAATAAAAAATTCTCGAATCCGGTTCCCACGTTCCTGCAACTATGTGTTCTACTCACCATCGGATATATTTCTAGGTTTGGTTCATAATTCAACTAAACTGGCAAAGAAACCACAGTCGAAAGCATACCCCCAAAGACTTCGATCCCTCGCTGTATACCTCTTCTCCTTTCCAAAAACGGGAAGAGCCGTCGGTGCAGACCATACACCACAAGTGACGACGGCCTCCACAAAATGTAAATGTTTCTGCCAATGAAATGATTAGCCTGTTGCAGTTGTATTCTATCAGTTGTCACTAATTACAACTATCATTTACCAAAAATCGGCTATCACTATGACCACTACCAAACAGATTTACTTTAAGGCCGTCGTCACTTGTGGTGTATGGTCTGCACCCGACGTTTCTCTCCGCTTTCTGAAAGGAAGACTATGTGGGAGCGATCTTCTGCCTTGAGCACGAATATGGCCCTCTTTACGGACACCGCAATTTGCAGCTCCAAACTGGCACTAACTGACGCAATTTTGACGACACAAGTCTGCACCTTCAAGACATCAGTTGTTTAAGACCTCCAGCACATCCAACGATATAGTTATCACTAACCCTTTCCGGACCGCCTGACACACATGGGGTGTCAGGCCCAATTTGCTCCCTGTGGCCGCCTGACACACATGGGGTGTCAGGGACTTCAAGGAGTAATTTTTGCGAGGATTCGGTTTTTCTACAAAATGTTTTTTGTTGTTACATATCTATGTAACATACTTATGCCGTACGTATGAAAAAATCTGGACTACAATCTCGAAATAGGTCCTAAACTAAAGAAAAACTAAGTTAACTTCCACTTCGTTCTTGAAGAAAACAGTTATAACTCATTTGAAAACAATTCATACAAAAGCAATCATGACATTTTGTACACGTCGTAGCTGATACTATTGAACCTAAAAGTTTTGGATACTTTCTAATCCCTTTTTCCTCATTACAACTTATTTTGAACAATTTTCACTTCCTGCCTTCCTTGCCCTGTCACCTTTATTACAGGACGGCTTTCTGTTATATTTACCACAAATATACTTTAAGAAATGAGAAAGACACAAACGAGAATAATATTGGTTTTTATGGGAATACAGATTAAATACATGATGTTTATGCTCGCTGAGTAGCGCGCGACGGTGAGCATAAAAAGGCGCCGGCCACACGCGCCCGCCACGTGAAAAGTGCGCGGTCCGGAAAGGGTTAAACATGAAACAAAGCGCGTGTAATGTATGCTATACGAAAACTCGAGGAGAATGTTTTGCACGATCGTTTCTCCTATTGATGAGAACTAACTGGACTTCATCGTGATGCTCTGAGACAGCAGATTTTGGCAATATTGCTATAACATACATACTTCCCATGGAACGTGATCGTTACTACGCCAGATAGTGTCCGAATTCTGTCAAGTTCAAATGCTGGGAAAATTTTTGACCCTGAAAATTTGGGTTGGTACTTGTTACCAGTCCGGCTTCCTTGATCAATGTGCTCAAATATCAGAATACAAGATTGGTTCCCGGGCAAACGCCGGGACCTTGTGCTTGACGCCTTCCGATGTGCTTCCCTCTACTTGTCTCATCAACACCTCGAAGAGGTGTGTATGCACAGAAAAGGTGTTCTACAGTCCACATCCGAAAGTTGGAGTAGGCGTGTCACCGAATGACGTGGGCTGCTGCCGCACTAGAAGTTGTACGGATAAGCTATTGTCAGCATGCTTTGCCGATATCCAGCGAGCAGCTTATCCGCGCGACATTCTATCAAGTGCGGCAGCTGCCAGTGACACGCCTACCCCAATTCTAGGACATGAACTGTAAATGGTAGGGGTATTATCATATGCGGTGAAGGGGATGTGACCGAGAAAATGAATGCTTTTGTAATGTACATTTCTGACAGTACATCCTCTTCCCCATTTTCTGAACACGCAGTGCATTATGATGAAAAGAACAGTGCCAGTAGGAATGATTGAAGGGAAGAGTTGAAGAGATATACAGGAAAGAGAAATAGTAGTTGCTCAGACAGCAAATGTGCCACGAAAGGATTGGACGTTTCACGTTTTCACGGAAGAAGCTATCCACTGTGTGAGCCATGCTCAACAATTTCGTCGGGCAAATTTCGAGTTAATTACGACCTCTCTCCTCGGATCACTGCAAGAAAGGTGCTGACTGTAGTAGCCATCGCAGCACCCTTAGGCCGTCGTCATAGTTTGCGAATCGAATGGATCCGAGCGTTGCGCCAGCGAATCGAACGTTGCACCAGCGAGTCGAACGATGTACCAGCGAGTCGAACTATGTACCAGCGACTCAACATGAAAGTGGCGGGACCCAACGTTTAAAGGAAAGCCCGCCACTTTCAAACAGTGTGGTCCTTTGAAGTGGACTTCCTTTGAACGTTGGGTCCCGCCACTTTCAAACAGTGTTGAGTCGCTGGTACATCGTTCGACTCGCTGGTGCATCGGTCGATTCGCTGGCGCAAAGTTCGATTCGCTGGTGCAACGTTCGAGATAGCGCAACGCTCGAACTTCTCCCGCACGCCCAAAG